TGCGGGACTCGATCCAGGGACTCCAGGATCATGACCTGAGCCGAAGGCAGTCGCTTAACCAACTGAGCCACCCAGGCGCCCAAAATTTAAAGTCCTTGTTGGGAGGAAAACTTTTTCTCTACCCCCCACTTAGGTTGGAATGGTTGGTCTGGGGCTGATACTAGTCATTGATCTCTTAGGAGACTGAAAGCTAATTCCAGGATTAATAAATAGATTGGAAGGTCAAAGTTGCTGTGACATTTGTCCTATAATCTTTTTCAATAATCAGTCTAATCTCTACCTTTTATTTTTTTAATTAATTTGAAACACAATGTTAATGAGCTCTTTTATCAGTTGATGCTACCATAATCATTAAGTCATTTGCATGTGTTTACAGGTGAAGACCCAGAAGAAAGGCGTGGACAGGTTCTGATCCTTCTAGTAGAGCAAGCACTTCGTTTCCATGACTACAAAGCAGCCAGTGTGCATTGTCAGGAGCTGATGGCCACAGGTGAAAGAGACAAATTACTTAACACTTGGCTCAGGTCCTTTTTACATGATGAATAATGGAAAAGATCTGTTCTCAAATCAATTGGCCTGGTTGGGAAGCCAGCCACATTTTCTTCAAAAGACATGAGAAACATTTTATGAGCCCTGATCAGTATGTAGACCATGTGCTTGTATATTAATGTAAGTACTTTAATAGGCTTAGGGGTTATATTTTAGCTGAGATTTTGGTTGCTTTCTATTGCCTATTAAAAATATGCTCATTATTTTAAGAACAATTTTATATAAAATATTTTAATGCCTCTTCATGTATTTGTTATATAAAAGAAAATTTAAACATTTTGAAGTATCTATAATTCGTGAGTAGTTAATATTTCTAGTTTTTAATTGTTTTTAAAGGGATAGCATAGTACTTTTCAAACTGATGTTGAGAAAATAGGAAGTAGTTTGCAATCCTAAAATTTTCTATTTGGAAATTCAAAGTCAGGTCTCTGGAAGATCAGATTTTTTTGTGGCATAATCTCACTATGAAAGAACGTATTACCCTGTGGGGTAGGAAGTGATGTTGCCTTATCATAGACTCTGTACTAAATGATCTGCTTTCTGGAGCTGTGTCTGAATATATGAAAGCCCAAGCAATCTTTTTACCTACTGTCTGTGCTTTCATAGCGAGCGGTTAAAAATGTAGGGCTTCACCTCATGGTAACTCATGGAGCTGTGCATTTAGGAGTTTTGCACTTTTTGTATGTATACTGTTAAAGAAAAATATTATTCTGACATTTCTTAAAAATCATAAGGAAGACTTTATTCAGGGCTTTTGCAGTAGATGTTAAAACTATTGCAATAGGCGAGAGAGATCAGACTTAACTCCTAATACAGAAAAGACAGCTGGGGATTAAAGCCAAGGAGCATAGTGAGGGGTCGGTGGATGGAAATTCTATGAGACATCAAGTTTAGTGGGTTCTTGCTGACCTGACTTAACAGGATTCTTGCTGAAGGCAGGCCTGGGTGTTCAGATTGCGAGGATGAGGGAGGAGGAATTTGATCAGATATCAACAGTTATCAGTTATCAAGGGTGGAAGATTCTCTGTAAATGGACTTTGTAGGATTATTGCCAACACTGGACTATACAGGCTCAGCCGGCATGGGCCAAGGTGTGGGCCTAGATGTGAAGAGGTTTCAAAGGAGCCTGACCAATATTTGGTCAAGGAGAGAATCTTTGTCAGGACATCTATGAAAATGTTTAAAGCTCTGGGGGAAAAACTCAATGCTTTATAACTTCAGCATTAGAAAATCAATTTCATAAAAGAGCTACATTCTGTAATACTATGTAAATATTAACCAATTGCTATTAATATTAACTAAATAGTGTTAGCTAATTAATGTTAATATTAATTAGTATTAGTTAGTGTTAACTAATAAGCCAATTTTAATATTAACCAATATTGGCTTTGTAACATTAAGTTCAGAATAATTATGATGTTTTTGAAAAAACAGTGAATTACTCTAAAATTATTTAGAGAGCTTTGTAAGAATTTTATTCCCATAAGGGTAGTGCCTGGATTTTTACTTTACATATTTAGAGAAATTATTCTGGACCAAGGCCTTTGTATTTAGAAAAAAAAAACCCTTTCGAACTAGAACTTAGTACTTAGAAAAAACAAACAAAACCCTTTCACACTAGAACTCCTTCAACTACACATAAAAATAAATTTTAAGAATCTGAGTATAAAATTGTGGAGGACAAAGATCTCTGCTGGGAGCCAGGGCTGACTGTAGCCATTGCTCTGTCCTTGGATCTCTGTCTTCTATAAAGTGAATGGTTCTATGTAGCTGCCTATAATAATTTTTCTTTTCTCACACTTTGCCATTTACAAAGTGCTTTTAAATAGAAATGTTATTTAATCTTCAGCAACTCAGTGAAGAAGGCATTATTATTGTCCCTTTGTAGTAGTAAAAGAAGTGTGACACTTGGAACTCTCTCAAGCTCACACAAGTGCTAAATAGCGTGTTGGGCCATACCTTCAAGTCTTCCGAATTCAGATATCCAGCTTTTTACTCAACGTCAAAGCTAAGTAGAGTATTTGTAGTTATTGTCAGGTGTTCTAAAATGAAGCAGAGTATATCAGAAAAACATGTCTGGAATATTGCTAAACTTTCTGCATAATAAACCAGCCTAATATTTCTTTTCTATTTTAGATCCTTATGTATTTCTGCTTATGAAAATGTTATGTATCGCTAATGACCACGATTGCGTTTTGGTAACCCAAGACCTGAGCAGAAAGCCATTGGATTTCTCATGTTAGGTTGGAGACTTTTCTTGTGAAAATCAGTTTGTTTTTGCTTGCCGATTTTGCAGGTTATTCTAAGAGTTGGGATGTTTGTAGCCAGTTAGGACAATCAGAAAGTTACCAGGACTTGGCCACTCGTCAGGAGCTCATGGCTTTTGCTTTGACACACTGCCCTCCTAGCAGCATTGAACTACTTTTGGCAGCTAGCAGCTCACTGCAGACAGAAGTAAGTGTTCCCAGGAAAGTAAATCTCGAACTGTATGAAATGTATTTTGTTGGGTGTGTGGATCTGAGATCTGTGATCATTTTTTAAAATAATAGAATTTTAATTTATGGAAGAAAAATAGCTTGTCACTTATGTGAAAAGGGATTTGAAGATATTAGGATATAAAATAGTGTTGTTATGGTAAGGAAGGAAGGGTACAAGGCAAGTATGAGAAAAACAGGAATTCATATTAAGAAGTAAATTATTGAATATAATGGGGAAAGTTAGTGTTGTCAAGAATAAAACATAAGAAATGATCATGTAAAATATATTTGAAACCATAGGAGTTAAAACCAGGGGTGACACCATCCCTTAGAGGCCCTTTGGAAATGGCAGAGGAAAGAGTTTTGGTTGAGGAAATGCTGAATTTCCTCAAATTCACAGGATAAATCTGCCTGAGGGTGGATTAATGCTCTTGTTGCAAAAATATAGGAAGGGATCAATACAGGATATAAGAATATAGGAAGAGATTCTGGAATTCTCATTTTCATGTCCTTGTCATTCAATATGTTGTATACCAGTTTTTCCACCAGTGGTTCCCAGTTCTGAAACTGGGAAGCTGTCCAGGAAGTCCTGAAGTAAGCCTGTTCCCAAAAAAGTGTTCATTATGAAATAGCAATTTTTTCCTCAAAAGAGTAATTTTTAAATTTCCAATCTACATTGTGAAGTGCGATGAATTTAAAACCACAATTCCTTCATACTGTGTCATGTTCTTTTTCCAGATTCTTTATCAAAAAGTGAATTTCCAGATCCACCCAGAAGGAGGGGAGAGTATCAGTGTCTCACCATTAATTAGTAAAGTGCAACAAGAGGTGAGTTAGTCTTGGGGGGCGGGGGGAAGTTTAAAACCTGGCCAGGAGTGAAGTGAATTGGGAATCGCCTGGCCCTGTGGACAGGGATGGAGAGACTGTTTTTCTTTTAAGCTTTTTTTGTGTGTTTCGTGAAATGCAACATTCATATAAAAAAAAAAAAGTACACAAAAGTGTTCAGCTCAATAAATTATCACAAAGAGGGTATCCATGAAACCACCAGAGAAATAGTGTATGACCAGCCTTCCACAGGTCCCCACACACCCTCTCCCAGTTTAATTTCTAGCCCTTCTTTCTCCTTCCAGAGATCACCGCTGTCGTGACACCAGGTCTTTGTGGCTTTTGTTCTTATTTTAAAGAATTTTAATATCCATCACATACCTCACCCATTATGATAGTTTAATTTTACCTGTTTTTGTACGTAATAGAAATAGCTTACACTCCGTATCGTTTGTGAGATTCATCCACACTCTTCTATGTAGTGCAGTTTTATTTATTGTTACTGGTGTGGAGAAATTAATTGCAGTGTGCATATTCTACAGTTGATCCATTCCAATGATGATTGGCATTGGTGTCTGTTCGGTTTTGGCTAAAACTGAAGCTGTGTCATCACTTTGTACAGGTCCCTCATGCACATGTCATAACTTTGTCTCCAGCATCTACTTCCCCAGCTCTGGAAGTGGATGTTAACAGATATCCATAGTTGCAACCTCGGTCAGTAACCCCAAATGATTTTCCAAAGTGGTTTTACCAACTGCATTTTCAACAGCAGTGTTTGGGATTGCCATTTATTCCAATTTAGCACTTCGGCATTGTTAGTTTTTTTTTTTTTTTTTTTTAAATATAATGTATTATTTGTTTCAGATTTTTTTTTAAACACTGGATATATAGTTGTGAGATCCACAGGAAAATAAGAGATCTCCAATTGTTAAAAGATTCATACATGCATATCCATATTGTTAGTTCCATTTGAAAAGGAATTTTAGGTGTTGAAGACTCCTTTCCTTCACAGAAATATAATAATATCTAAGGCTTGAATTTACCTGAAAAATCACATTTTGAAATACAATGTAGCATGTCCTGCAGTAAGCAGTAAAAGAGAATTGGCATAATGATTGTCCAGAGGCTCAAAACATAGATAAATAAATAAAGTAAAAAGACATTTGAACATGGCAACTGCACTCTATTAGAGTCCCACTCTCCAAATTTACTTAATGTACTTGAAATATTAGTAGTTACGGCTTGCTTAGGGCAAGAATCAGACAAAGAACCAAACTTGGAACTTCAGAGAAAATGAGGATCCATTGCTATATATGGTTTTAGTTTTCTACTTTGATTTTATGGAGCTAGAAAAAGAATGGTGACCGTAAGGAAATCCACTTACTAGAGTTATTAAAACTAGAGTTTCTCTAAGAGCACCATCATTCATCAAATACAGCTATAAAAGCCTCTATGAAAACCTCAGGTTTTTACATATGTGGAGTAACGATGGGATCTATGATGGGTGTTGTTTTGAAAATCAAATTAGAAACATGTAGAAAGTACCTTTCTCATAGTAATTGACTCTGGAATATTGAAGTAGTAATACACATTTTCTTAAAATACACACAAGGAGAAAACCCCATAAAACAGTAGCAGATACTGAAGGAAAAAAACCCATTTTTTTGATTGAGGAAAGTTATGGAAAAGTTTGAAGTATTCTATATCAGTTACTTTTTGCTAGACTGTGCTATGTAGGAATCTCAAAAGCCTCAATGACACGTGATAGCAAGTTGCTTTCTTGCTCCCAGGCATTTCTGCACCACCTCATGGGATGGCATTCTCACGGGAGGGGTAAGGAGCAGCAATGGGATCCCATGGTGACTCTCATGAAACATTGGCTCAGAGGTGGCATATGTCACTTCCACTCACATTTCATCACCCAAGAAATTACACAGCCAAGCCCAGTGTTCGTCGGGTGGGTATTTGGGGTATGAATAATTACAGTGGATACTGGGAACAATAATACAGTGTACCAAAGTTAGACTCAAATGTAGATGTTGGCTGTCATGATGGTAAACTAAGTAATTGAAGTCTGCATCTACTTTATGTTTTATAGGAAAGCCACAAAGGATGACTGTACTAGCAGATGTATAAATAGCCATCTTAAAGTAACCCAGGGCTGAAGTGTTTAGGAACAAAAGGACAGGATATATGCAACTTAGTCTTGAATGGTTCAGAAAAAACAGACATGTGTATATGTGTGTGCACGTGTACTTGTGTGTGTGTGTATGTGTGTGGGGGGGGGGCTCCCATGTATGATGGTACATGAGCAAGTATAAATGGAACAAATTATTAACGATTGATTTTTCTTGGCAAAGAGTTCTTTGTACCATCTGGCGACCATTCTGTAAGTTTGAAATTAAATCATAATGAAAACCTAAAAGAGCCCATTCCAAAGAAAAACCACCACCTCTCTCCTTTACCTCCCCATCCCCTGGGCTCTCTGCCACCTATAAGAAGTTCTGGGGAAGAACACAGAATGTGTGGGAGATAGCCATGGATTTGGGGATGGATAAAGGAATGAAGGCTTGAAAAACGCTTAAGGGGCTGGGTTGAGTTCTGGTTCCATCACTTTTTCAGTGACCTTTCCGTACTTCTTTTTCTGAAGATGATAGCACCTGCCTTGTCAGCTTCTGCCTTGTAGGGTTAATATATGTAAATCCCCTGCAGCAGTGCCTGGGACGTAGGCCATTCATGTAACGTCAGCTGCTCTCGTTATAGTTGCTACTGTTGTATTTATGGGGCCCCAGCTGTCCAGGTAGTGCCATGCTTCTTATATCTTGATCCCTCTCCCTTAAATAAATAACCATTTCTTCCTAGCATATATAGAATAATCTTTACTGAAGTTTTTTTCTCCCTTTAAGTGTCCTTAATTACCTCATAATGTGAATTGGTTTGATCGGACATGTTTTATTTTCCTAATATCTGGCGTAAGTGAGAGGATTGGACCTGTTTGGAGAAAGGGTAATAAATTGGAACAGTGAGCGGTTTGAAGATTCCTACCCTTTAAATTGGGGTGTTGAGGTAGCGGTAGAAAATGCATGTTTGGAACATGGAATGGGTTTTGGGGTAGGGGGCTAAAATGATTGGGGCCTCTGGTGTAATAGGAAGTATGTGAAGTTTTCAAAGACAAATACTGAGTTCTTTAAAATTTTCCCTAAGGCCTCACATGGCAATTGAAAAGGTGACGCTTTTTCTTAGCTTCCGAATGCCAGCGCATTTGCTGTTTCAGGAGGTTGGTAACAAAGGATCCTAGCTGTACAGTATTCAGAAGCAACAGTAATTTTAATTTTTAAAAAATAATTGTGTCTTTCTAAATTCTTTTTGATCTGGAGGCTAAGAGTTTTCATTGTGTTTGCTTACACCATCGTGACACTCTTTGGTGATGTCCCTGGTTATGAGTCTTTCGTCTTTCTTTCGTAGTGCGATTGTGCTCTGATCGGATCAGCCTCATTAAGGAGTGTATCTGCCAGTCCCCCACATGCTACAAACAGTCCGCCAAGCTTCTGGGCCTTGCTGAGTTGCTGAGAGTAGCAGGTAAGTTTTGAATGCTGAATTGCAGAGTAAGGTTTCCATGTCATTCTTGACATCATCCTGGGCAAACGTCAGAATATGTGCTTGCAGGTGTCAGAATGCTGCTCTTGAGCAAGGATTTATCTTTTCTGCAAAGATCGGCATGTTAGAGAAATGTGTCCCCATACTGAGCTGCTGGTCTGTCTGTCCTTTAAACAAGGACAGGCTCATTCAGGGTGCTAGCAGGTGGCTGTGAGGTCAGGAGTAGAAGCTGGGATGAGTGTTTGTAACCAGAAAGCTTAAGAAAAGTCAGCCCTACCATTCACCTTCAGTGTCCAAATTTGGTATATTTTTGAATTCGAGCAATTTCTTAGAAGAATTTGTGCATTTACTATTTGGTGTGGTTTTCACATAGGTGATCGTGCTTCATCTTCTATTACATGGTAATGATGATGGTATTTTTCTCATTTTATAAGGGAAATTGAGGTTCAGAGAAGTGCAATATCTTGCTCAGCAGGGTTAAATAGCAGACCCTGGCTTCCAAGGAAAGTCTTTCTGACTCTACCTTTCATGCTTCTTTAACCGCACTGTTCTGCTTACCAGAGTTTCTTAATAATTTTCTTTTGTATTTTTGACTTGCACTTATCTCTACAAGAACAGTTGTTGGCCAGGGGCGCCTGGGTGGCTCAGTTGGTTAATCGTCTGCCTTCAGCTCAGGTCATGATCCCAGGTCCTGCAAAGGGCTCCCTGCTCAGTGGGGGGTCTGCTTCTCCCTCTCCCTCTGACCACCCCCGCTTGTGCTTCTCTCTCTCTCTGTCTCAAATAAATAAAACCTTTAAAAAAAAAAAAGTTGTTGGCCAAATATTTTATAAGCTGTGGTTTGAAGTTAGACTTGTCCAAACCACATATTATAGACTCAAAAGTAAACAGGATTCCTGTTTACATTTTGAACTCTAAAAAACATATATATTTAGTGTATTAGGGGACATACATTTACTAATGTTTTTAAATCTCAATATAGATGACTGATTCTGAAGGTCTATAGTTTTAGTACATTTTCCTTTGTCAGTTGTCCAAAAGCAGAGCATTGTCATCTTTACCTGTGGGTCCATTGCAGCTTTGGAACCCGTCACCCATCCTAAGGCATCTTGGATGACAGGGGAGAGATTGGGTGTAGATCAGAAGGCTGCTTCAGTCCTGACTGTCCCATACACTTGCAAAGCGACTTTAGCTCCAGTTTCTGTCTCTGGAAGATGGGAATGACACTCCCTGGTTTCATCCTCCATGTTTCCAAGACCCCCGAACGAGTTAATGCCTATAAAAGCACCTTGTAAACTTTGAAGCACTCTGATCATCAGGGAAGACTTTCATAATGAAATTTCGCAGAAACTAATGAAGCAGCTCAGGGATGCTGTCAGCATTTTTTATGTACCTGCGAAGACCAGTTT